CATGTTAAAAATGAGTGACCATGTACTTACACAGAGTTTTTAGCCTCGAATTAATCACCCAAACACAGTGGGAGGGCGAATAACACCTAGAGCAACACAGATTGGGTGGCAGGAGTCGAGTGAAATATGTGAATCAGGGAGAGAGTAGACGGATCTTACGCGGCAAGAGGGAGACTTTGATAGGACCCAGGAAAGGACTAAGTAACAATATGACAGATTCTGGTCAACATTCCCAGCACGAGAGGGAAGGGGGTGAGAAGGCTACGTGGAGTGTGAAGGGTTTTCATGGATGCCGCTCGAAGCAGCACACCACACTACATCAAAATAAGCACGGTAAAAATTGGGACAGGGAAGGTGTGATAGGATGATTTAGGAAATGTAAATAGCCCAGGGCAGAAGGGGAGATACCACAACTGTTTACCACACGTTTGGTCAAAGGATCGGCTTCACTTGTAATGGTGCTAAGAATGGCGAGACCCACTGATGATGCCGGCGAAGCGTCTGGAAATGTACCACATCTACGGTTCAACCTTGGAAATGATCATGCAGACAATGGACCCCGGACTCGGTGCGTTTCAATTAGTCTTCCTACCAATATGACAATGTTTCGAAAACAGGGTCAAACATACTCTATGCAACGAAAGGAGACTACGACCACACAAAAGGCCACATGATCTTGGTCTTTAAACCTTCGAAAAATAATCTCTAGCTAAACAGTAATTTGCTTATAGCGCTGAGACTTTAGACTGACTCGAGATGCAATGAAAAGATTACAAAATTATAAGAGGCATTTGTAATAAGGTATCGTAACCTAATCTTTCTGCATCCTTATTAACACCTATACATGTCTACCATCGTATAAGGGCAAGTTTGCTCTTTTCACAGATTTTTTAGTTTTCTCTTAAACCTGCGATTTATTTGTTCTCTATTGGTCATTTGCAGAACTCAGACAGACCCAGCTGGGCCTGACAGCCAGGTTAGTTCTTTGAGTCGTTTCTGGGTTGAATCTACGTCCCTTAGTACATCCTTTATAGATGGTTTATCGAACACTTCCCAAGATATTTAAAATTTAAAATTTAAAAAATAATTTTATACTAGGTATTTAGAGTGAGGTAACTCAGTATA